AAAAAAAAGAAACTTCGTAACTGTATATTTTATTTAAAAAGCTGTCTATTTTGAGATACATTTCTTCATCCTTCTTTTACTTAATTTTCCAGGTCTTTGGACAGCATCTGTCATGGTCTATGGGGGAGAATAGATACAAATTTCTATCCCAAAGACTTCAACATTTCTTTGAAATCATATTTTACAAAATGATCTTACCTAACATAATATCTCGAAAATTAAGTGATGCATAATGTACAGTACATGTATCTAAATTAGGATCATTTATATTGTTAGTCGTTATTATAGGTGATTGTAACCATGTAAGTGATGATAAATCACCACGATTTAATACATTAACATGAGCATTATCTGTTTCAATCCATGTTGAATCTATACATAAGGAACAAAAAAAAACAAAAGAATAGTTTAAATAATCATTTTTCTATTTAATATTCCTATACCTTTCGATATTTGTAAATGTTGATGAATATATGATCCCCGTACACCATTTTGATAGATATTAACAGTTAAATCTCTTGTTTTTAATGTATTTAATATGTTTTCATTGAGAATATATTCAGAATCTTGAATATGAATACATCTATAAATAAATAGAAAATATTATTATTCATAGATTAATAAATAAATCATTTTACCGAAGTGATTGTCCACCTGGTTCACGTCTTAAACAATTAAAAAATCCAATAATGCCATTATCTATTTGATTAGATATAAGCCAAACACGTCGTAATGAAGAACTCGATGATAATATTTTAATTTGTTCAATCCATTGAAAATTCTTATCATATATATTAACAATAGTATCTGTAAGATTTTCGTCCGATAATTTTTTCTTGGTACTATTTGAATAAAATTATTAATTTGTAACTGTTCTCTGGGTACGATTGTACCTGATGAAAAAAGTATAAAACCATTTAATTTACATATAGAAAGTAATTTTTCCCAATCATATATATTAGTTTCAGTTTTATTAACAATAACTAAATCAACTGTTGTTATTATTGTTGTTGAAGATAAATTTTCAATTAAATTAATTTTTTTATTTATTTCATCATTTGATAATGATGTAACAAGTGTATAATCAAGTGATTTAATAGATGGTTGTTGTGAATAAAAAT